CTCTTAAGTGAAATAAATAGGACACACACGTGTAAATACCGAATAGTTTCTCTGGTGTGAGAAATTGAAAGTGTAGATAAGGATAAAAATGATTAAAAGGAATAACTGATACTTTGAAATAGGAAGAAAAGGTCCAGAGGGGTAGGAGAGGTGGGAATTTTTCAGGCAATTTATTTAAATGTCTGTCATCCCTCCTCTCTCTCTCTCTCTCTCTCTCTCTCTCTCTCTCTCTCTCTCTCTCTCTCTCTGTGACTCCCTTAATTCGTGTATTCATGTGCTTGATAGTGTTGCATAGGTCTCTCATAGTGTCTTCACTCTTAAGTTTCTCTTTTTGTTCCTCTAATTAGATAATTTCAAATAACCTCTCCATAAGTTCACTAATTCTTTTGCATGATTGAATCTCCTATTGAAGCTTTATGTTGAATTCTTCAACTCTGTTTTTTGGGTTTTGTTTTGTTTTTCTTCAGCTCCAGGATTTCTCTTTGGTTCTTTTTTATGGTTTCTATTTCTTTGTTAAAGTTCTTATTTTGTTCTTTCATTATTTTTCTAAATTTTTTAGTTGTTTATCTGTGTTGTTTTGTATTTCATTGAGCTTCTGTAAGATAATTACTTGGAATTCTTTTTCAGGCATTTCTTAGATCTCTATTTCTTTGGGATCAATGATTGGAGACTTATTAGTTTTCTTTGGTAGTGTCATGTTTGCCTGATTCTTTGTTATCTGTGTAACTTGGCACTAATATCTCTGCTTAAAGGATTCCAAGGAAGATGAACCTAAAGAAGAATTCTCCAAGACACATTATAACTAAATTATCAAAAATAAAAGAATATTAAAGGAAACAAGAGAAAACAGACTCTTAATATCCAAAGTAATCCTCACAAGCGAATCAGTGGACTTCTCAGTAGAAACTTTGCAAGCCAGGAGGGAGCTGGATGATATAATTAAAGTGCTGAAAGGAAATGTAATTGCCTACTAGGAGTACTATACCTGGCAAAGTTGGTATAGGAAGACAGATGAAGACATTGCCAGACAAACAAAAGCTGAGAGAGTTCTTCACCTCAAGACTTATCTTGTGAGAAGTGCAAAATAGAATTCTTCAGATTAAAATGAAAGGATATTAAATAACAACAGGAAAACATTAAAATATAAAACAGAATGGTAAAGTCAGAATAGTCTACTAATATAATGGTTGTATGTAAATCACTTTTAACTAGTATAAAAGGATTAAAAAAGCCTTAAAATTACTATAATTCCATAAATTATGAATGAATACACAATATGAAAATATGTAAGGACGATGGATTTAGCTCAGTGGTTCTGCCGCCTGCCTCGCAAGTGCAAGGTCCTGAGTTCGATCCTCTATACCAAAAAAAAA